ATGAGACACCTAAAATAAAGGTACAACCAACCTAAAGAAAAGAAAAGGAAGTGCTGAAGGGAAGGACAGTGGTTTGCTCGAACAAGGCATCTCGAGAAAAGGCCGCTGGGGAAGAACTAGCCAGAAAAGCAGTCTTTCTATTCCTATGGAAAGCGTGCTGCTCAGGGAAGGGGGAAATACCACACAAAAAAGTCCGTAAGGGAGAGAAGAAAATACCAAGAAAGAGAGAGAGAGAGAGAGCGAGAGAGAGACTGATGTGAGCATCCCCACAGGCCAGGCCCCTCTGCTGAGCTGCGCGAGCCCCGGACACCAGCGTCTCCGTCAGCCGCCTCTCGCGGGAGGCCGGGAAGCTCAGCAAGGTCCCACCCCAGCAAACCCGCCGACTCGCCCCCCTGGGCCACTCTGGAGCCATTTCCAGTCAAGCTAACCCCCCAGCTGGGTGCCTGACAACTACTTTATATTCCCCCACCACCCCCCACAATTATGTATCCTTTCCCTAGGTCTTTGTTCTTAAGGAAGGATTTTAATTAAAGGGTTCTGACAAAAAACGTTCACCTGCCTTTCTCCTGCGTCAGATTTTCACTTCTGCCCACAGTGACTCAAGGAAGTTTCTCTGTCTTTAAAGCAGCTACAGCAGTGCTCTTACGCCCTCGCACGTGCGCGCAACGCCTTCGGAGCAAGGTGTCCAAGCGGAAGCGGCTTCTCCCGGCCGGTCCGTTCTGGAAACGGTCCCTTACACACGCAGCAGCTTCCCAGACTAGCAGCTCCTGCAATTCGATCGCGAATCTCAAGGACCGTCTCCGAATATTCACACCCAGTGCCATTTAATGATTTTCAGTCCATGCTTTACACCTCCTTTATCTTTACAATACCAAAAATAACCCCCAAAAAACAAAAAAAAAACCCACCCTCCCCAGGAGAAGCGACGCAGGACCAGTCGCAGCCCCGACGCGCGCAGCTATTCAGCAACAGGATAAAAAAGCGAGATTCTAGCCCGGCGTTTCAGAGGAGCAAACATTTGCAACAAAGCCAGGAAAAACGTCCGGGTTTCTTAGCACTGGGACGCGCAGGGGCACAACGGCCGCCCGGCGCCGCCGCGGACCACCCTGCGGTCCCGTCTTTGGGCCGCCCGGCGCATAAACGCCGGACACGAGA